AACCCATTAAGAGGAGAAACTAATTCGTAACTCCTGTTTCTTGTCAATCATGGAGACTACTTTCATTTTGCAAAGAGACCTGCAATCCAATTGTAACATTGAGAGTGCCATTACAGACATTACAACAAATATCAGTAAATTTATAAAAACTTAGTAAAAGAAAATATTGAGGAGAGAAATCGTCCGAGAAAATTTAGATGAACAATGAAAATTACGTCGAACTTCCAAATATTTAAAATCGATGACGACGATTTGTGTCGATTAAAAAGAAACGGTTGACTATTTTAAATTACAGTAGCGACAGTGTTACCGAATAGAATTTGCTTCTCTCTTCTGAAATGTCAGAATTATTTCTTTGTTAAACGCTGTGAAATAAATGCATACTTTTAAGACATACTCGCTCTTATTTCTAATATCTCTTCGTTTGTACTTGCAAACGGAATTCGCGTAAATTGGGGACGAGTGTATTTCCTTCGCGAGGAATGTCTCGATGAAATTTTTGCAGCTGCTCACGATTTCCAGACAAAAATTCTAGTCGAGCAAAGCCATTTTTCGAAAATAGCGTTGGAGAGAAAACGTTTATAGGGGGTAGACGATTTTGCCAGGAGCTAAGACGTATATATGTAGAGGGTCAAAGGGAGCGTCCATGATCTTGAGGCGACGGCACGCCAGGATCGATTAGGGGAACAGCCTGGGGCCGGATTCCACTCGGTTTTCGGTCCCCTTGGAAGCGGAACTCGCGCGCTATCGGTCTCATTGTCTCCCGGGCCCGAGGTGGCGAACCTCAGTTCTGCTCCAGTACTCATGGGAGTAACATCGCGCACTCCCGTAATCCTTCTTTTCTGTCTTTCACCGGGTACCCGCGCGCCGTTACTCGAACACGGAATCACCCGATCCACTATCATTTTCATCAGTCGCGGCGCATCGCGTGATAACCACGCTGATCGACGAGTGACCGGGGATCGTTCCGCGATGACCTATCGATCCGACTGATCGAATAGACGCGAGTGGTACAAGGTGACGGTCAAGGAGGCGGGATCGCATTAATAATCGAGTAGCACGAAAACAGCGGATCGATTCGCGTGAAACGGAAAAGGACAAGTTCCGGCGAGCCGAGCTGGCATTCGGGACAATTCAGTTATTTTTCGTCTCAACGGTGCTTTTTGTTCGTTTTCATTTACGCTGTCGTCCGTAGGTTTCACGAAAAAATACTTCGATGTGTGAAATTGTGGCACCGTAGACTTTAATTCGTGTCTTATTTCATTACGTTACCAAAAAAGGGATATACAAATCGGAATAAAGAATATGTGTTAACGAATGACTCGATAGAATTGTTCACATTCAAAAGTTATTCACAAGTCGATTGGTCGATTAAAGAAACATAAGATCTCATAATAAGTTCGTTATCGTCCTTTATTCTTGTCATAGATGTCACATAGATTTAGGGACAACAGTTTCGTGTTCGATTAGGAAAATCGGCATGTGTTGACGATAGTGTACGAGAGGATTTTACGCAATATGTGCTCCCGTAATATTTTCAGTCGAATAATTGGCGATTTTATGCAACAACCGGCTCGCGTGTCGGCGTAGTGCGAAACAACCGACAAGGACGTTGTCGGCCTGTGGGAAACGCGCGAAAGTTGCGATACCTAATCAAGACTGAAAACGAGCATCGGTAAAAAAACGCTCGGTGCCGGTTGCCACCGCTTCGGAGTAACTTCGCTGTGAACGGAAAGTGGGTATCTGAGATTGGACGAGTCACAATGATCGTGCGACTCTGCGAATCCTCGCGGGGCCCCATTAAAAAGTAAGCGATCTAGACGAGAGGTTTAGAATCTTCGAGGACGGAGGGTCTCTCGTTAATAATCTGGAGCAGTGATAGTTGGATATTTTACAATCTATACTTGAACAATGCCGTGCGCGGGATGGGAAGCGTAAAAGTTGCGAGAAGAATGGCCTGAAACTGCAGAAACAGGCCCGCGATCCAAACGATTCGCGAAGTGGAGCTGAAGAATTCGCCGGAATGTCTCTGTTGGAAATCGCAGAAAGCAAATTCGAGACCAAATCTGGAAGACGGAGAGTAATCTTGCTCTAGGATCTGGTCTGCCGGAGACTCTGTCCATAAAAAGGGATTCTTGCGTCGGAGTGAAACCGGTGTGCCAACGAGAAAATAAGATCCCCTTGGAAGTTTCTCCAAATTCTGTCAGCGGGATAGAAAAACGGAAACAAATTTGAAGAATCGAGGATGATGTTGATCGTCCGGCGAGACGGCAGAGGTAGAAGTTGAACGTTCTGGAAGATTCAGGAGGACTCGAGCCAAGTTTGGAATCCGATAATCGATCTTGTTCAACTGGAATCCGTTTAAGCTGCGCCAGATTCCACGAGCTGGTTCGAAGAAACAATTCTGGATCTAGAGCAAGATCTTCGGGACCGATCCTGGATTGTAGTCTTTTCAACCCTTCCAGTTGATAGGCTGATCAGATCTGCTGGTTGCGCAGAGTTCTAAGGGAGACTAAGACCGATTTCAAGAGGAAAATCATTGGAATGCCTTGACGCAACGAAACGTTCCAAAGGTTTTAAAAAGGAGTTAGCTGAGTTTGTAATCGAGAGATCGATCTTGGACACTCGAAGCCTTTCGAACGGCATCGAGTAGGTCTGCCGTCAAAGTTGAAGAAGTTCGACGTTAGCCGCGAGCAACGTAAGAATTGGAGATTCAGGTGGCACTAGGATTTATCGGGCCACAGATTGAGATTAGCCGAAATAATCTGCTCTGGACTGCAACAACGTCGATCAAAGTTTAAAGATAGACTTCTACCGTCAAAGTCGAAGAGTTTGAAGTTACCTAGAAGTAACTTAAGAATTAGATGTTCACAGGCTTCGATTTAAATGGCATTAGATTTTTGCCAAACAATAGATAGATTAAATGAAGCGATCTAGACTACAACGATAAAACTTTCTAGACACGCATCGATCACCCAGAAATTGTGTAGAAATAAATACAAATAAACTAGCCGTTTAAACGTCAACGGATTAGAGACTGATTCTTCAAACTCAAAGTAAAGAACGTTCTAGTGCAGAGAAACTTTAACGACTCTACCAACCGTGGGAAGAGTCTTTAGAGATAGACCTCAATCATCCTAAAGTTGAGTGAAAATCGTAAAAATAAACTAGCCGTTTAAACAGCGCCGCATTAGAAGGCTAAAACGTATTCTATAGAATTCGAAGTATATAACATTTGAGTACAGAAAATTGTAACGACTCCAGAGCAATCGTGGGAAGAATCTCTGGATATAGTGTTCAATCGTCTAGAAATTAAATGAAAATCATCAAAATAAACTAGCCATTTAAGACCGCGCCGGATTCGAAGACTATAAAGCTGATTCTTCGAACTCGAAGTAAATAACATCTGTGCGCAGCAATTTTAACGACTCTAACAATCATGGGAAGAATCTTGGTCACCTAGAAACCAATTAAAGTGCACCAGATCGCGCAGGATGCTTAGCTGGGACGATCTACTGCGACCTGGATATAAGTACACAGACGCTGTCAGAAGGTTGAGGCCTTGAACTACAGCTTTCCTCGATCCTCCGGACCCTGTCAGAGCGAAAGAGAGTGAGAGAGAGGGAGACAGAGAGAAAAAAAGAGAAAGAGAGAAAGACTGTGTGGACTGGCAACAGCATGGTAGACCGTGCAGAATATCCTCGAGCGAGGATGAACGTGTGCCCGCGCCTCCGTGATAACTGATAAATGTATACCGGTCTTGCGGTACCCGCTAAGAGAATGCGGTTACAAACACGATGGAAAAAAAGGAATACGCCGGTAGATCTTTAATGGTTGTCGATACTTTCGTTTAGAAAGCGCTCGGCCGTGTCAGTTGGACAGGGATTCGCGATCGCGGTGCATCGTTCGTCGCGAAACTGCGTGACGTGCGCACCCGGCGCGCACTCGAGCTCGATTTTTCGGGGCCCGATCGGGACCGCGTTTTCGAAACATGTAGACGGCGATGCGGCACGCCGGAGGAAGAAACGTCGGGCCTGACGAGAGAAAGTTTTTGCCGCATGAATGAGTAAGTTTTTTCGTTTTCTTCTTTTTTTTTCTCTTTTCGCCGAGAAGGAAGTCGTTCGTTTAACGCCACACGCGCGACGAAGAATTTAATTGGTGGTGGAAATAAGGAGGATTCGAGAGGCTCTCTTGTCGATTGCAGTCTCGTGTCGCATCGTTCGGTCGATTCGCTCTTTTTAACGATCCTCCGAGGCCGTTTCTTGTTCTGGTCTATTTAATGCCGCGCGTAAAACGATTCACCATGTATCTTATCCGATGTCGCCGCACCCGGGAATATTTATGTGCCGCTCTGATAAGGTGGAAGTTATGTTAATGTCGCACCGCCCCCCCCCCCTATCCGATGACCCACTTTAAAATGACAACGTATGAACAGCTGTTTTCTGCTGCATCGGGTCGCCTTCGGAACTCGGTGTAATCGTTTCTTTTTTCATAGACCGTCTGTAGAAAGTTCGCTCATGGTTTATATATTCCTGCTGTAAAATCTGTCTTCGAATAGCAAAGAAAATGCAAGAGGGAAGCAAGCTTGCCTCCGTGTATACCCATAGCTCTGTGTCCTTCGGAAGAATCTACCGAAGAATCTTCAGAAGAATGTAATAGAATCGCGGATTATGTAAAATAGCTTAGTGTAATATCGGTCATGGTCGAACGCCGTCATGTTCGACCATTAAAATGCAGATGAAAGTTAGAAAATTGACGCTAGAGCATCGCGAGTTTTTAAGAGCCTCATTGGCGATTCGAACGGGATTAGTGTCGCACTTGTAAACGTGACAAATATTATCGGAGACGCGAGGAAGAGACAGCTGCGGATTTGTGTACAGAAATAAGTAAAGTGTTTTTTAGAGCAATTCGAAAGGCAAACGCTGCTCCAAATTTTTTAACGCCACTGTACGCGAACACCATGCGTATGGGTCGACCTGTACATGCAAATATCTTTGCAGGAGTGGAAAATGCAGCTGCCAGCTCGGGCCTGGCTGCGGCCCGTCCGAAAGAAGAGGCGAACGCGATGGAAACCGTCCGTGACTTCATTGAAAAGATCGTGGAAGGCCTGATCGGAAAGGTGGACAACGCGTCGATCGGCCGGCTGTACGATCATCCAGCATGTAAGTTAAAAATGAAGGCTCGCTCTGTACGTCTCTTACTTCCTCCTAAACGTTAACCCTAGAAAGACTTTATCTAGCATGCGATAAGTCGCGCTCGAGCACGGCATTAACACGTGTGCGGGCCAAAGTATATGGTCTTTGGCAGCGACCTAAAATTTCTAATAATTCTTCTTCCATGCAATCACGTCTTATGAGGTCTTGCGTGATTTTTATAGCGATGCGAATTATAGTTCGGTTAGAAACGTGGCATCCCATGAAAATCGAGATATTCTATTATTTTGATGGCGTTGCCGGTTATAGCTCAATTATTGTGGCATGAAAACGTGAGATGGGACATTTTGGGTCTTCGGCGGCGACCTAAAGAAAATTTGTAAAATAATCATTCAAAAGTCACTCAAGATGTGGTTCAGACATTTTCCATATTGTTCACGTCGTAAGAAAGATTTGTACACGCTAAATGTCGAAAGTCGGTGCCAAAAATTCCTACAAAATTAATCAAACTGAAAGTAGCAACTCTAAAATTGATCACAGATGGTATTTTAACTCTTTTGCATTCTAAGCATCCTAGTAAAATTCAGTCTGTTCGAATGTATTTCAATAAAAATAGATTTTGAAAACCGATCGGAATTACCACTGAACGTGTTAAACGTTCAATCTTGGACGTGATAAGGCCCACGATTACTTTGTCCCTTACGAAACACTTCGTAATGAATAACAAGATCTTAACACATTAAAGGCGGAGGATCTTGACGAAAGCATGCTAGGTAGCGCGGCGACCGCCCCGCCTCGTTTTTCGTCCTAGAGCGGGCGATATTTTGTGTAATCATAAAAAAATTTAGACTTAGAAAAGTTCATTTAAACTCTTAAAACTAAAAGAACTAAACACTAATTACAAAAAATGTTTTAAAGTACATATTTATGAGAAGTCGAGATAAATCGTAGTACTACGACTCCCGCCTTTAATGTGTTAACAAGAAAAAAAAGTGTCGTTTTCGAGGGGATCGTGAACGCGGAGATGGCTCGGTCTTTCTAGGGTTGATCGGATCGCTGCTAGATCGAGCAAGCAGAGAGAGAGAGAGAGAGAGAGAGAGAAAAAAAGTAAAAGCGCGACCGAGAGACGTGTTCGTCGACCTCGTGGAAAGAGTTCCATCGCGTATGAAACGGCGTGTCGTCGATTCAGCAACAAATGCTGCCATCTGCTGAAGACGCTCGAACGTCGTGAAAACTGGCGCGGCTCGTTCCACGATCGCGCCGACGATATTTTCGCCTGCTATCTATTACCTACTTAACAATTAACTCTCGACAGCCTTGATTACCGGTTGCTTTTATTTTTTTCTTTATTGTGTTCTTTTTTCTCTTTATTATTTTCACCCTCGATCGCTCCACGAAACGCGACGTTACCCACCTGGTAATTAACTCTCGAGCAACTCGATGGCTTCTTCGACGCTTCGATGGAAAACGGATGTTCGAATGAACGGGACATGCAACACTGCAGCAATTACTGGACCGCGGATGCGTTACCTACTCACCCGTAGAAAGAAAAATCAATACAATTTATCTCTGTGTCAAAGACTTTTTTTTGCAATGCGAAAGAAGTTCGTGAAATCTTTATTCGAATACTTGCAATTGCGACAGGGAATACAGGGTTAAAAGATCCAGTGATCGATGAATCTAGAGGACGTTCTAGTTTGCTTTAGTTTGATCGAGGCGCGTTGAATTGCCCGTTGGGAAGCGTGAAAGGAGCGATCTAGAGATAGATGATGTATCGTAACGCTGTGCCGTGTCCACTAACTACTCGACTAACGCCAATTAACAGATAACAAGCTTTTGGAAAAGCATGTTGTACCGTTGGTCGACGCTCTCACTCGTATGGCCATGGTTCTGCGATTGTCTTTGTCAAGTAAGTAGCTTCTGACGCAATCACATAGACTATTTGTCTGTTTGCTCTCATTTCATTCCATTTTCCACAAATATTTCCAATAATACACACTCCTCTTTAGCACTGTTAATTGAGCCGTTTATTTTGAAAGTGACATAAGTCACTTTGTTTTTAAGTCGATATATTTAAGGGTTTGCGTTTTAACACGTTTCAAAATATGGATGCTAACTTTCGAGAAGATTTACTTGTATTCGTTATCTCAGGATACTGATATTTTTCTCGGTATAAATAATTTCGTATAAACATTAAAAAATCACCACTTTTCATTACGGTAAAGTGACTTAAGCCACTTTCGAAATAAATAGTTTAGAAAAATGACTGACATATATTCATTTTGTCCAACGTATTTTACTGAAGTGATGTTTTGAGAAAGGACAGTGATTTACTAAAATTGTTGAATGAATTACATATATAATAATAATTTATACCATGAACATATTTAACATAAAGGTTTGATTTAAGTATTTTTTATCTTAATATTCATAAAATACAAAAATAATCAGTACATTTTGAAACATAAGTATAAGTAATTTATATGAAAATACATCGGTTCAATTTAATTTTCGTCATCGATAGGAGTGATTAAGTCCTCGGAAATCGTGTTTTGTTTCAAATTTTTTAAATAACTGTGGTATATTGGGGGTATATAATTAAGCAAGTCCATCATGTCTTTGTATTTTGCTGAAGAAACAGGACGAGATCCAGCGTATAACGGATCCATTTCTATTTGTGAATAACGCCTAGGTCTTCCTCTTTTTGGTGACAAATCCAAAGTTAGAAATTCATCTTTTTCATCTAAAGTTAGTTTATAAAACATTTTATAGCCATCTGCTGGCGGGTCTGGAGGTAGCCGCCACATCACTATAATATAATTTACAAAACTGCACTATTCTTTCGCACTTATAAAAATAAGTCCAGTGATCACAACTTTTTTAAAAGTACTGAAAATAATTCAAAACAATACTTCACACACACTTATCACACGTTTCTATTTCTTTTACACTAAGCCCCGCAATGAATTTCCCGAGTACAGCGACTTACGCCACTTTCAAAATAAACATGTTTGTTATACCGTTAATTAGCAAAACTTCTCTCGAACAAATCTCAATAGTTCCCAACTTATTGATTGCAAATTTTTAAAAAATGAAAAGATACCGTTCAATTGTAATTAGTGTTACCATTAGCTCGATTTTTTTGAAAATGTGACTTATGCCACTTTCAAAATAAACGGCTCAATTATAGTACTCACCATCTCCGATCATTTTATGAATCATGAAAACGTATTACATAAGCGAAGACGCAACTCTCGTGCAGCTGTGTAAAACGGGTTGCGTGTTCCAGGCGTGTTTCTGTGCGTCATGAAAATAGCGTAAGCGATGTATGTATGTATTATTTGCTTTGGCTTCGATACTTTTACAAGAAAGAGTACAAAGTAATAATTCCTGATTTTCTTTGAATCAGTTTATTAAAAAAAGAATTTTGTTATTGCAAATAATACGGTACAGGAAGAAAGAATTTCATCTTCGTTGTTCACGTTCATTCTGAGTTAACATTGATCATTTCAAAAATAGTATCTTCTTTCGACTGAAGATAATTGAATGATGTTCACGCGATCGGACTCCTGGTATTTCTTAAAGTTTATGAAATAAACGTCTTTATACTATATGTTTCTTTATCTAGAACCGGTAATTCGCCTCACTGGCGAACGAGCCATTTAATAATTACAAAAAATAATAAATGAAATACCAAATACATTCGACAGCAAAATTGAAGTAATTTCAAAGTAATTACAAAGTAATTACAAAGTAATTAGGAAGTTAAATATTAAGTAATTGTCAAAGATTTATAAATAAAGGTAAAGAAAAGTTTTTTAGGAAAATTGTCAATCTTTGAACAGCTGTAACTCCGTTTGTGTTAAAATCATGACTTCTTTTTAAACTAGAACTTGAAGCCTCTACTTTATGACACCATATTTTAATTTGGCTCGCGCCAAGGGATTCTAGAATAGAATAACTATCGGGACAGTTTGCATCTTCGTCGGAGTTCATCGCGATATCTCAAAATTTGCAATCGCTAACGTATGACGTAAGCCAGTCTAAAACATATATTAAGCGTACACTGTACTCGCACGAAACACATACACACGAGGTCCATACAATTACATTGTAATTGTGCGAGAAAACATCGCTGCGACTTAATTCTACCCACAAATTAAAGGGGAAGGTTTGAATTTTACGATGCTGTGAATGGCATGCTCGAAAAAAAAGTTTCGCAACTCCATAGAGGGCGTTCAACTTTTCACTTTTTCGGTATCACGAATATGTCTTCAGATTTAGGGGATACTTGACATAATCTTGATATTAAAAATTAGATTATGGTACCATCAAGTAAAGACATCAAGTCTTTTATATTTAAAAAAATCATAATTTTATGACAGTTGTTAATGGAGTTAGTTGCCCAAAGATCGACAATTTTTTTTACCATAAATTACTGATGCTTTAATTTTGCTGTCGAGTATGTACAGTAAATTCTCTCCAATTGTATCTCGGCTTGTTAAAAGAGTGGACAATTTGGGAAGATGAGATACGATTATTCCAGCCTCGCGGCCCGTTTTTAAAATCGCCGATTGTCAACAACTATAAAAACGAGCCGCAAGGCTCGAATAATCGTATCTCCTCTTCCTAGATTGTTCATTTCTGTTTACAAGCTGAAGGACAATTGGGGAGAATTTACTTTATCTCGCGAAGCCAATCTCTTCGAAATGAGCCGTTTATTTTGAAAGTGGCATAATGTATATAAGTAATGAAAAGTGGTTATTTTTTAATGTTTATACGAAATTATTTATACTGAGAAAAATATATCAGTATCCTGAGATAACAAATACAAGTAAATCTTCTCGAAAATTAGCATCCATATTTTGAAACGTGTTAAAACGCAAACCCTTAAATATATCGACTTAAAAACAAAGTGACTTATGCCACTTTCAAAATAAACGGCTCAAATGAAGATCGTGTTACCAATTCGTTAACTAATCGGCCGGATTTGGGCGATTACAATTGCAAGGTGAATTTAATTAACAATATTTAGCAGTTCATCTTAACCTATGTGTACAATACAGTAACGCAATGTTTACAGTTTTGCATCTTCCATCAGACACAAACTTAAAATGCAGTAGGTTGCGTTAACTTCTCATCTTAGCAAACTATTCCGTACGTTATAAACAAGAATAAACCATTACATAATGTTAATTACATTCACCTTGTAATTACAATCATCCACATCCGGCAAGTTAGTCAAGGAACTGGTGGCATGATCTACATTTTTATGAGAAACACGGTGTATAGTAATGTCTCCCTAATTGACGCTCAGATTGTTCACAAAAATGGACAATTTTGGAAGAGGAGATACGATTGTTCGAGCCTTGTGGCTTGTTCTTTTATGGTTATCGATTGTTAACAACTATAAAAACGAGCTGCAAGGCTCGAATAATGGTATCTGCTCTTCCCAAATTGTCCATTTTTGTGCACAATCTGAGAAATTAGAGATTCGATTAGAGAAACATTATTAGTCAATTAGAGAAACATTATTAGTCAATTAGAGAAACATTACTGTATGCATACCCTTCTGCTCGGTGTATCGTGGCATAAGAACACGATGTGTTTCAAAATAAACGGCTCAAACACCGATCAAAACGAACCATCTTTATAACTCAGATTCCAATCACAACAGGCTTCTAAAACGAATACCGAGTGGCGAGTTCATTGAACCGATCACTACAGTACTGAAAGTGTTTTTTTTTACAAAATTTCCTCGCCCCTCTACCGATCCTCGATGATCAGGTTACCGAGGCCAAGAGCATCGATCTTCGAATCAGAACGCGAAGACGTCGCCTAAAGCTGGTTAGAACCCGAACCAACCGATCGTGTTTCCGTTTTCCGCCTCGCAATTCCATTACGTTCGAACGGTTGAGCTCGACGGGTTGCATAACGCGGCGCAGAAATCATAATCGACAGTTTCTCTGAAGAAAATGTTCTTCCTTCCCACGATGCGAGGAAATTGTCAATCTATTCCTCGAAAGTTCACGAACTCGAGATTCCCACCAATCCGAGAAATTCCGTGAAAATCGTAATTAACGCGTGTTCGACCATGGGAATCGCTATTATGTCGTCGGGGAGCGAGCACGGAACAGAAACACTGCAACTATTTGATAAATACTCGTGAAACTCGGGCGACATGAAATGGTTCGGGAGCTACAAGAAACTGTCGGGACGATTTCGCACGGCTCCCTCCCGATCGAAGATGCCGTCTCACCGATTTAAGTTCGAGTGAGTTTTTCTTGGCTCGCGGTGCTTCCGTGGAAAAAGTATGGGTCAAGCGGAATGACTCGAGCATGCTGAGGAATCGAGGAAGAACGATGCTTGTAGAGCAGGAGCCGAGAGAAACGTTTGTTCTTAGAGCTGCAAAGAGGTCTCCGGTGTTTTCGTCTGGGTTTTTCAGGAATCGGAGAGCTACAGGCACTTCTCCGATTTGTTGAGCAACGGAGACACGCGCTGGAAAGCGCTTAGACGCTCGTAGATGTAAAATATAAATGAAATGACTCTACTAAACTGCAGCGCTTTGAGTAATTTAGCGGAGTTGTAACAAGGAGAAAGTTTGGAAACTATGACAGTTCAATTAGAAAATAATTTAACGACGTGCAATTGTCTATGGATTCTCTGACAATGAATGAATGCTATGCAGTCAAACTTTATGCAGGTATGGCTAGAAAGCAATAGAGAAATTAGGAAAATATTAATGTAGATTATTCAAATTGTGTTGAAGAAAAACAGTTTTATTTGGCACCTGTCAGGACACTTAATTTACACAAAAAGTTACAGCATGATTTTGGACGGCAAGTAGGCTGCGAATTTTCATGTGCTTTTATGGTGCATGCAAGATTTTAAGATGCGATTAAATGTTCA